GGGGGGGGGGGGGGAGTAGAAATGGAGGGGGGTGAGGGGGAGAGGGAGAGAAAGAGACAGAGAGGGGAAGAGAAACAAGAGAAGGAGGAATGAACAGATGACGTGTGTTGCACTGTCCGGCATGCAGTAGGCGTTTAGTAAGTGAACGTCACTGTTGTCCCAGACTCAGCTAGTCCATCCAGCTTGGAGGCCCTAAGACCAGCCCGGCCTCAGCTCTAGCTCCTCTGGGGTGGCTGAGGAAGCTGAGACAGATTCTGCTCACTGACAGGAGCCTGGGTTTCTATCCATATGAAGCCATATCCTAAACCCAGGACAGGACCCAAATGCATGCATCTCAGAGAGGGAGTCTTTGGCGGGGAAAGGGAGGCTTACCAGTGCCACTCCCAGGATCTGGGGGAAGGTGTAGGAGGAGCAACCCGCGGGCGTGAGGCGGATGGTGGCATAGGGTGTCTGAAACCAGGCCTTCTCACTGGCCCACACGATGTCACAGAGGGGCAGAATGGAAGCGCCCAGGCCCAGAGCTGGCCCATTGATGGCCACCACGATGGGCTTCTTAAACTGGATGAAGGCCTTCACAAAATCCCTGGAGGAGAGAGAAGACCCTTTAACAGGTAGCCTCAGCTTGCCGAGTCCCGCTGGATGCCCCCTGATTCCCTCAGGTGCTATGATTCTGGTAGTCAGAAGTGAGCAGGGGCCAGGCAAGGGCTTCATTCACCAGGACACAGCATCACCAGCCTGCCAGACCCTCAGAGGAGGCTCACGGAGGCTCTGTGCCCCTGGCCCTGCTCATGTGTGATGTCCCAGCACAGCTCCCATCGCTCTGCTCTTGAGGGCCGTGAGCTGGACAGTCAATTACCCACTGACGAAGTTCTCCATGTGGGAGGAAGACAAGTGCAATGGTACAGTTCGAGACCAGAAACGGCAAGGAAAAGAGGATGTTCCAGAAAGACAAATTCCAACTCAGAGAATGAATGTTCTTGCTCAGAGGAATCCCACCTTTGGATGAGTGATCACTTTGGGTGATGGCGAAGAGGAAATTCAAGTTTCAGACGATGAACGTAGGTAGGGTCTGCGACTTAACAAGATTTTTTTCAAGGCTGAGATGCTCTGATACCGAATTATTTACAGGGATGTTAACACCACCAAGGGCAGTCCCCCAATGAGGATGAGGGTCTATGTGTCAGGACGGCTCTGATTAAAACTGGGGAAGGATACTGGGCTCCCCTGTAGCACTATGCTCAGACAATCACGAGCACAGGATGGAGCCTCTCCAGGCTTCTGCCGTGGGAAGGTTATGGCACGCATCTTTCCCTACGCAGCAGAGCCAACAGCAGTGACCTCTACTTCCCCTACCTTGGAATGCTTTCGGCCTTTCCCTGAGTTGCTATATGAGATCTATACAATTTTAATATTCATCTGCTCATGGAGGAAAGATTCAAGATGCCTAGCAAAGCTGGCACCCTTCATTATTCTCAGATGGAAGATTGAAAGCTACCAAGAACTTACCAGAATAAAATCCAGATGACCTTGGTCTGTCTTGGCTGGTGCCTCCCGACTTCTTTGACATTACTCTTAACCCTGCTCACTGCGGATGAGCCAACAGGTCTCTGAGGGTTTTAGGAAACACTTCTATCCCAATTACTCTACTAATAATATGCTTGTTCTTGAAGCCTTCTTTCCTTTTAGTCCCTCATGGATACCCATAGGTCTGCCTGGGGCACTGCTCAGCTTCCATTGATATTGAAATTAGTGCTCAGCATACAACTTTTGAAAAAACACAAGAGTCTCCCAGGAGTATCACAAGGACTGCGGAATCAACAACAAGCCAGCTCTTCACCAAACCCATTTTCCTTTCCGTCTTCTTTTTGAGTCTACAAATAGGCCACATTTCCCAGGGGCCAGTCCAGCTGGGTGTGCCCACGTCCCCAAGTTCTGCCGAACAGAATGTTCTCAGAAACCAGTTGCACCACTTCCAGGTACGCACAACCTCCCACCTTGTAGTCTTCCAAGACAAGTCACCTAGATGGGCATGGTGGTCTGTGGAGACACTGGCAGAGAAACAGGATGGAAGGGTCTGGGTTCCCAAGGTACCACTTGGAAGAAAGCCATGGGATGACAGGTAACATCTCTTTCAGGTTTACAAATATGAGTTGTAAATTTCTATCCCAGTTGAGTCATTATATACATTTGAGGCTTATTTGTTATAGCAGCTAATGCTTACTAATACAAACACCAAGCTGATTTACTCATTCCCAAGGGATACTGTTCCTCCTTCTAAGTCTTATGAGAAATGTGGCTATTGTGGTAACATACTGGCTTCAAAGTAACTGTGAGAGGCTCCATCATATTCTGCTATGTCAGGGACATCTGGAGACCTATGGAAGTCATAATAAAGGTATATAACATTGACCCAGGCTTGAGCTGTGACACTGCCTGAGATAATGGAGTGAATGTGGTCACTGCTGCCCCCACTGCAGGTGACCCTAAAATGACCCTGCTCCAATGGGGGGGGGCACCGTGATGCTCTGTGGCTGGTCTCCCATTGGCTACCTTGCTTCACCTCCCAACCTCATGGCTAGGTTTTAGGTTAGGTTGATCATTTGTTTTTCACCAGTGCAACTGGAGTCTGTGGTGAATATGGAGCTTCTCTGCAGGATCCTTAGAAGCGCATCGTTTGGGAGATTTTCATCAAGACATCACATTCCCAGGGAAGCTTTATGTAATTCCAGAACTATGGATCTCAGGCTTGGGGAGGACTTTAAGACTCATGTGAACCAATTTTCCTCTTGGTGCCAAATTCCTTCCATAAGCTCCTGAAGATGGATCACCCCATCTTAGTTGAATGTTCTCAGTAACAAGGTGCATGATCACCCAGAGAGCCTCCCCTTCTGGGTCTCCTGTGAGCCTCCTTGACGTTCTCAGGAATCACTGCAGCCTTCACCCCCTTCCAGAGCCTTCCACATCGGGACCCCCACCCCCAGCCTTCCACTCTGTGGCTCCCAACCTGAGCTCTGTGCAAAGGCAGCAGGGACCAGAGAGGAAGGCAAAAGGCTCCAGTGTGCAAAGCTCCGCCTCCCTCCAAGCCCCTCCTGTTCATTCTTACCTGCTTTTCATTTCCTTTATATCAAAATGTGAGGCATAGACCACCCTCCCATCCTTTTTCTCTCATCTCTGGTGGCAGATCTCTATCACAGGGCCCTGGGAATGTGGGAGCCAAACAGCAAACAGGATATTGCATTACAGACCCGCGGCTCAGATATCTGATCTGACAGCAGTGCAAGCCGGGCTCGGGGGACTGGTGCTGTGTTCCCCAGCGTCCATGGCCATCGGGCTGGCCTCTGCCTTTGCAGCTTCCTCTGCCTCATCCCAAGCTTCTGCCTGACCACTCTGATGTGTCACAAGAGCAGGAACTTCAGTCAGAAAGACTTGAGGCCAAATATGCCCGTCTCTCAAGGTCAGAACAAGTTGCCCAGTCTCAGGGACCTCCTTTTCTCCCTCTGACCTGGAAAGGCAACGATGGCCTTCTATAGGGCTGAGTGAGAAATGAACATGATGGTCCACGTGGGCTCACAGCACAGTGCCCAACACACAGGGAGCACTTGATCTGGGCTGTGCCCGGGAAAGTCCACATAGCTTTCATTTCACTTTGAATGTGGTCATGATCTGCTCTCCCAGCATAAGGGGGACTCAGAAGCAAGACAGCTCATGGGCATGGCTGGACTTCACTTGCAGCAGCTGGCATTTCTACTATGATCCAGTTGCCTACTCCCTTTAAGCAGAGCCATGGAGGGCACCCTCCCACTGCCGAGGCTAAGAGCCAAGTCAGCCAGACCAGGGCTTCTGAACACCAGATAAATACACACAGAGACTGTCCCCCCACACCTCCTCCTAAGTCTCCAGGACAGGGGCCCACTCCACCATCAGACTCAGCTTAGCTGCAATACTTCTGGACACTGACCATTCGGGCTTAGTCTATTCCAGGAATAGCCCATGGGAGGGGGCATCTAATAACACTTTATCCTAGCAACCCAGCAGTGAGGTCAGAACCATCCAATTTGGTGATGAGCCAATAGGCTCAGTGAGGTAAGTAGTGTGCCCGAGGCTGCCCACCAGCAGGACCCAGGTGGGCTTGAGTGCAGGCAATTGGCTTCCAGAGTCTTCTCGAAGGCCGCATTTAACAAGCCATCATATCACCTATGTCAGTTTTAGGTGAGGAGAACCTCTCTTTCAGGATGGGCCCTGGATAGCAGCTTCTGCTGAATGAATCATCTCTGGAAATCCTAGAACACTCCGCCAAATGCATGGCTGTGACATCACATCCCAACTCCCTGCGGGCTCCAAGGGAACATTCCAGAGTTGGGTGAGATAGAGACTCATGGGAGTCTGATGATCTCTCTGACCCCAGGGCCCCTACATGGCCACTGTCTGTACCTTCATCCATCCTCCCCTCACCCTCCTATTCCTCACTCCTTTTCTTCACCCTCTTCTCCTTATAACCATCTTTTGTCTCTTGCATACAAACACAGGTCTTTCTGTCCCTCTTGCTGCACGCTTGGCCTGCCATGCACAAACTCCTGGTTGACACCAGGCAGGTGCTCTCCACCCTGGCTACACATCAGAACCACGAGGGAATTTTGCAAGAGCAGATGTGCACTGGGGTCTGCAAAACACTCCCCCGTGCCTCTCTGTGCTATTGGAGCTGGAAACAGAGGCCCAGGGGACATCCCCTTTCCCACTCCCATGGCCCTGCCAGCCCATAAATTAGCGATTTCCACCCCCTCTGAAACATGGGAAGATGCCCCTCTGCCTTCACACCCTCTGCTCTGCCTGAAGCATACCTGCCCACCGAGGTGGCAAAGGTCTGACTTCCACTGGCTGCGTCTCCCTGGAGGTAGGAATAGAGCCTGTGGCACCTCCTCATACTTGGGGCCCCTGCTTTGGCGTTCCCTGGTTTATTCCACTGGAAAAGTGAGAAGCCACGTGGGTCCGAGGTCCCATCCAAGTCTCCACTCCATGTTCAGACAGCTAATCTTTTCCTCCCCGCCTGCCCCTGAAATTTCTTTCTCCCCTGATCTGGTTCCCAAGACTCTAGAGGGACATAGCTGTTGCTCTCATGACCCCAACAGGTAGAAGCTGCAGGGGATGAAGTAAAGCCCCAATCCTCAGCTGTGCTAGATCTCAGAAAGGGACGGGCCAGGGGATGCTGAGGCTCTTACTGGTTGTGAAAACCTGCAGGGATGAACCAGGATCCGTGGGTTCAGGTGCCACATCCTTATTCCCACATGCTCTGGCACTGCCTGGCCCCCCACACCGGACATGCCCGCCCACGACAGATTGGGAACGACCTCAGCCACAGCTTTCAGACATTATCTGTTAATGGATCCCACCCAGCAGACCCCAGCGCAATCCACCAAGAGTGGCCCCTTATGGTTCCAGGACAAAGGTCACGATGGACCCTTCCTGAGAGGGCAGCCCAGCATGCTAGGGCTTTCTGAGTTGCTAACACTTCTCCCAGGTCTGCTGTCACGATGACCACAGACCGGGTGGCTCTAAACAACAGAAGCTGAATCTCTCATTAGTCTAGAGGCCAGGAGTCCAAAGTCCAGGTGTGGGGCGCTGGCTCCTTAAGGGATACAAGGAGGACTGGAGGCTCCAGGGAGAGCTCCAGGCTCTCTCCAGCTCCTGGAGGTGCCAGCTGTGCTCCTGGGCTGGCAGCTGCCTCCCTCCAGTCCCTGCCTCTACCTCACATCACATTCTCCTGGCTCTGCGTCTCCTTCCCTCTTGCGAGGGTCTCTCCTTTTGAGTCTGGAGCCCACTCTAACCCAAGATGATCTCATCTTGGAATTTTAAACGTAACTACGTCTGCAAGGATCCTTTTTCCAAATAAGGTCACATTCATGGGTTCCAGAGATCAGGACATGGACGTATCTTTTGGGACGCATGATGCTAACGCAGAGGTTTGCATGCTGATGAGCTGTGTGTGTGAGGAATGGAAATCAGGGTTTATGTCAAACAGGCTTCGCTGGGTTCTGGAAATCCAGATGAAGACCAGAAATTTATAATGGAGATAAGCAAAGCTTCCCATGAGTCACCAAGATGGGCATTCAGTTCCTCAGAGTGGGTTCTGATGGCCCCAGGAATGAGGAAGGAAGAATGCTCGGGATCCTGCTGCTCCTCTCGACGACTGAGAAAACCAGCGGAGACCAAGCAGAGAGCAAACAGCTGTGGACGTGTCCAGGACTGGGCTGGGCCTGGGACTGGCATTAAAACCCCAGTGACTTTGCAGGGACCAGGCTCTCCTGGCTCTCCAGAAAGCACCCTACCCCACTCTGAAGAGGGAGCAAAATCCCACACACACGAGTGTCCTAAGGTCACATTGTGGATACTGCAACCCTCAGAGCCCCCACAGCCATGTACAAACCAGTCCGTGTGAGGCAGCCACACAGCAGCCAGCCTGGAGGCTCCAGAACCCTGACAAGCAACCTGGGGCTCCATGGCAGCTCAGGGAGCAAGCCTTCCTCTCATGAGACCTAAGTGTGGTACAGCAGTGAGCAGTGAGCGTATTCACCCCTCCTGAGGAAGTCGGAGCAACAGCTGTCAACAGCTAAATGGGCCCTGGCTGGAAATCACCCTTATTTACTTTTAATATATTTATAAAGAATGGAGAAATGACTGCCCTGTGTACCAAAAGGAGTCCTGATTGTTGGCGGTGGATGCCACCTTCAGGACCCTTACTTTTGCCTCAAAGGCAGGAAGAGAGGGACTAAGACTCCCACCCCGCAAGGTCCACAGCTGCCTGGGGCACCCCCAGCCCCTCAGCACTGTTGAGTCACATTAGATCCAAGACCGAAATGTCAGGGCCACCAGAGACCTCCACCACCAGGCAGAGGCAGGAGTGCAGTGTGTAATACCGGGCATCCCAGGCCTTAATAGAGGGAAAAATCCTTTATTGATCAAAAGAATGAAAAGGAAATCTAACCTAGAGAGCAAAGCACCCCTAATTTTGACAAGACAGAGTTGCAGATAAAATACAAGATACGGGATCTAAAGCTCAAACTTTAAACAAACAGCCAATAATCTTTAACTATAAGTATGTCCCAAATACTGCATGGGACATACTTATGCTAAAAATAAAATTGTTTTGTTGTGCGATGCTCAAGCGTAATTGCTGCTTGTGGTTTTCTTTGCTGAGCTCAGTAATTCCAGGAGGGACTCCAGCACCTCAGACAGTAAGGAGCAGCTCACCTGATGGCTTCGGCGATCCGAGTGCTCTCCTTCCGCCGGTCACTGGACAGCCGGCCGATCAGGTAGGAGTAGTCCAGGCCGCTGCAGAACACGCTTCCCACAGCGCTGAGCAGCAGCAGTTTGCTGTCGTCTGTGGCCGCATTGCACAGTGCTCGCCGGACCTCCTTCATGATCTGTAGGCAGAGGGGAGTAGAGGGATGCAGTGGCGGTTGGCAAGTCAGCCACCCGCGGGCTAGGGGTGGGCAGATCTGCTTCTGCCTGGGCAAGGATGCTCCTCCACACACAAGCCCAGGTCAACGCTTATGGAAACCAAAGCCTTCCGGCACCATCCCCAAGCCGGCAGAGGAGTAAACGAGGAGGCCTGTTGGTCACCTGGCTGAGAGTCAGTCAACCCTGTGTATCTCTGCAGATCCTCTTCTGGCATTTGCTTGCTCAGCCCTGTACATACTGAGGGTAAACCATCCCACTCCCAGGCCAAGGGAGCTGCATACGCCCCGCCCCTGCTCGATGGCTCGGCTCAAGACCCTCGCTTGGCCTGTGGTGGCTCATGGGAAGGGGCTTCCGCACCAGACCTGGACCTGGGTCCAAAAGCCGACTGGTGATAGAAGCGCCTGGTCCCCTTTGTGGCCCTGCTACTTCCTCGTTCTAGGACCCGAGACACACCGGTCCCTTGCTTGTAAGTGAGGGATCACAGCACTCACTTTCAGGGACTATAGGGAAAAATGAAGAAAAGGAAAGAGAATGCTGTGTCCATTCCCTGCAGGGGCGATGCGTTCTAGATGAAGAACATGTCATTCCTTCTCTTGGTGCTATCAAAGAGGACAGTTTAGCTGTCTGCCCCTGCCAGACTGCCATTTTAATAATGACAAGAAGGGTGCTTCTGTCACTCCCTATCATAGTCTTGAAAACTAACACAGTGCCTGGTATACAATAATTCTTGTTTCATTATATAGCCTCCCTCTCTCTTCCTCTCTCTCTTTCTCTCTCTCTCACCTCAGAAGCCTTCTGCCTCTTGGAGCACTTGGCCCTTTGGTCTAACGCCCTCCATGCAGCAGCAGTCTCGCTGCAAGAGCAGCTGGGTATGAGACGTGCAGTGCCCAGGGCCCAGCAGAACCTCTGCTCTCCCAGCCTGCAGAGACTCGGATGGAGCCAGGGTCTGAAGCTGATCCCCTGCCATGCACATGCTGGTGCAGGGGCAAAAGCGTCATTCGGAGCCTCGGGGTCTGGGCCATGGTGAACCAACCCCTGCAGCCTCCTTCATAGTCTAACCCCTTCCCCTCGCACTCCTCCATCGGACACTGTTCATCCTGCTACACACTTCTCTTGGGAGCCTGGGCATTCAGCTGATCCACAGCCCTGAGGCCAGGATGCTCTAAGAGCACATGAAGACAGGAAGTCTGTGCTGCAATCCACTCTCCCTTTCACTGGCACAGCCCCTGCCCCACCTGTTCTCAGCGCCACAGTCAAGACAGGCTGCTCAAATAATTTATCTCTGCAGTAGGAAAACTCTCCCATGAAAATTTAAAACTCCACACCTGCTCTGTACCTCGATTTGAACTTCAGAATTACACTGCCACATACATGAGAAATATCCAAGTTAAAAAATTAACATGGAAATTGGGCATGGGCTAGTGAGATCCCTGAAGTATCTCATGGAAATGAATATAAAAGTACTCTGGAGAAAAGCTGCAACCGAGACCGCATGAGAACTACACAAGGAAATAAATTCTTGTTGAAAATGAACTCACGATGAAAAATTAAAAAACACTGGAGGAAATACAAGTCAGCGTACTCAATACACAGGAGGGTTATATAACAACATTAAGTACTACTGGTCTAAGAGACTATAACATAAAAGTACTTCCAATAAGCAAGGAGAGGAGACATACGAACAATAAAGAACAGAAGAGGGGGGGAAATGATTATAAGGAAAAACAAAATCAAGGATACCTGCAGATTAGATGGAGCTAAAGGAAGAATAAATGAACTGAAAGACCTGAAGTGACTGCCTTGAATTGGGAACACAGAAATGGATGGAAAATATGCATGAGGGGTAAAGGGAAGACTGACAAGAAGGTTTCAAACAGGTGTTCAGGGTTCTCTTTGGAGGTCACAGAGAAGAGGGAGGCAGGATCTGAAGAGATAAGAGGCTGAGGATGTGGGCACAGAGCTGCATTCCTATGCAGAGGCCTCAGAGAATCTGGTTCCTTGCTTTTCCCAGTTTCTCAAAGCATTTGCACATCTGGGCTCGTGGACCCCTCCCTCCACCTTCAAAGCCACCCATGGTCAGCTTCTCACTTCGCAACACATCTCCTTCTTCTATACTTCAGAGCTCTGTGATGACACTGGGCCCATCAGAGTCCAGGATAATCTTTTCATCCTAAAGTCACTCGTTAGCACCTTCAGCAGCCTAATTTCCTGCCTTGGAACCTAACGTAGTCATAGGCTCTGGCATCTGATGGAAAGAACCCACTTTCCTTACACAACTTCCAGCTTCAGATCTGCCATGGATCTAGAGCCAGACAACCAAGGGCACTCAAACTGGGTACAAGAAGTAGAACCAGGGCCGGGGATTTAGCTCAGTGGTTCTGCAGCCTGCCTCGCAAGTGCAAAGACCTGAGTTCGATTCCCGGTACCAAAAGAAAAAAAAAAAAAAGTAGAACCAGCCTACGTGTCCATCAACAGATGAATGGATAAAGAAAATGTGACATACATATAATATAATGACGTATATATTATACAATTTAGCTATAAAAAGAACAGAATATGTCATTTATAGGAAAGTGGATGGAAATGGAGATGATGATGTTAAGCAAAAAAAGCCAGACTCAGAGATCTGACCACTATCACATATTCTCCATAATAAATAAAAAAGATGACAAGAAAGCAGGAGGGAGATTATTATTAGACAAGAGGAAGGGAGTGAGGGGGTGAAGGGGCAGTTAATAGGGATGAATATGATCAAAATATATCATACACATTGAAACACGATATGTTACACAATTCATCGGCACTAATAAAACATTCATTTAAAAGTAAACAAATGAAAATAAATGAATAAGTATGCCCAGAGACAAAAGAACGATTATCTTGAAAGTACAAATGCTTGGCAGAAGGCATCATTCTAGAGAGCAGAGCTAAATACCAGGAGGCGGTAATAGGATATAATTTTCGAGTGGCTGAGAAAAATTCATCATCCAGCTAAACTATCACTCAAAGGTGAGAGTGAAAGCGAGGCACTTTCAGTGCAAGAAGCTGAACACTCTGAGATCCTCACAAACACAAGGAGAAAGGGCTGTATTCAAGAAGAAAGCTGGTGCCAAAGGAGCAGAGAGCAGCAATACCTGAGAATGTGCTGTTGGGTCAATGTAAGGACTGACTATAAAACTCAGGACAGGGATGGGTGGTGACTGATTAGACGGCGGGGTGCGTTGGAGGTAAAGCTGCAGCAGCAGGAAGTCTGGTGTGCGGTGAGAGGGCGAAGGTGGGAGACAGCAGGCCAACGTTATCTGTGTGGGCATGGCACAGAGGGGATGGTGACCATCGCTTTTAAAATTAGCAAGTATAATGAATGGAGGATAATATAAGGAATTCTCAACCATCTGATCCAAATTAGGGAAGGCGGAAAGGTGCAGAAGGCAATGGTAATAAGAAATAAGGCTTGGACAGAGGTCTCTCACGGGGGAGACAGGATGCAATACTTTGGAGAAATCATTATTCATCACTCAACAGGCACCATCACAGGGATGGGGAGCTATTCTGAAAGCACTGTTTGTGAAATTATACTTTGAAAAGAACCCCCAAGTTTGTTAAGCACCTAGAATGTCAAGGGTTGCGTCCGGTAACTGCCACCTAATACTGTATTCCAAACAAGGTCTGCAAGGTAGGGCAGGTAGGGACTTCTCACAGGTGAAGCAATGCAGACTCAGAAAGGCAGAGGCAGCTGCCCAAGGCCACCCCAGCAGAAAAAGGCAAGACACAATCCCAGTGTCAGTGCCCACAACCCTTTGCTTTCTCTGACTCCATCCTGTCAGATGGCTTAAAAATGGAAAAGACAGGGCCAGGTGTCAACTGAACCGAGACACTCCGGGACCCAGCTCTGCTGGAAGAGAGTCGGAGCACATTCCTCACTAGCAGGGAATGAGCCACAAGCGCTCATTTTGAACATCAAAAGTGCGAACAGGCCACTGTCTTGTGGGTCTTTTAATCCATCTGCCTCCAGAAATAGGCACACTCTCAGCTACCTATGGACTGTTGCTCGGAGAGGCCAATAAAGGAAAAGCTTTCCACAAAGTGATGAGCTGTGATTCCATGGGAGACTCAGAGAGGGGCTTCTCTGTTCCAGGCCACACTTACTGGTCAATTAGTAAAACACAAGGCTGAGCAAAATATGAATTAAATCAAAAGCAAACCTGTATCTCATTGATACAACTGAAGTACACACTACATCTCTTCTCTACATAAGAAGAAAAATTAAACCAGTCATGGCAGTGCATGCCTGTAATCCCAGCACTTAGGGAGACTAGGGCAGTGGGATCATAAGCTTCAGGCAAGTCTGGGTGACTTAGCAAGATCCTGTCTCAAAAGAAAAACATTTAAAATGCTAGGGATATAGCTCAGTGCAAAGGCCCTGTCTCCAAGCCTTGGTACCAAGTAAATAAATATTCAAAATGGTTTAAAACTACAAAAAGTTATACCTAGTTAGAACCTTTCCCTTTGCCTTTCTGGTGTTGAGAATTCAATTTGGATTGCTTTTTTTTTGTACCAGGGATCAAACTCAGGACCCTGTGCTTTCAAGGCAGGCAGCAGAACCACTAAGCTAAATCCCCAACGAGAATTCAATTTGGATAGATGGCTGAATCTTCCTGAAAGACTCCAACTTTTATAATGTAACTGCTGGGTTTCCACCAAGATGCTCTAAAATTATCCCATACTCTTCTGCCTTCTTACACAGAACACACCGCGTGCGCTCAGCGGGCAGCTGCTGGCCTGCAGCACACCCATCCCCAGGGCTCTGCAGAGTGACTCGAAAGTGCAGACTGCCTCATACACTGAGGTCCCAAATGCATCCTGTGCACTTACTGCTGAGCCCTGCACTCCCTAGCTCACCGCACCTGCTGTTGGCACCTGCTGGAGAGAAGCCGCTTCCCCTGCATGAGTTCTGGCTTCAGATCTGGCGTGGATCTAGAGCCAGACAACCAAGTTCCTTAGACCTGGATACAAGGAGTAGAACTAGGATCCCTCTCTGTCCTGAGATCCAGTCACCCTCAGCTCATTTCAAAAGCAACCACCTTCGGGAGGGATTTTCCCAAAAGTTCCCAACTGGATGTGCCCCCTCCTTGTCCCAACATTGCAAATACTGTAAACCTTCTTCACAGGGCATCCGACAAGCCCTTCCTGCCCTACAGAACGTGTACATTCTCACCTCATCTGCCTCCTGCCTGCGGGAAGCCCCCAATGCCATGAGACGGGCTCTGAGACGGGCCCCACTGACGAACTGTCTGCTGCTCACACTCTGCTGCAACCACCTACCCACAAGTGAGGACTGGACTTCGTGACTCACTTCTAACCTGAAAAGGATGCCAAAGTGACGGGATGATGCTTTCAAGACGAGGGCAGGGTACAAAGTGACTCCGGCTTCCACGTGTGTCGTTTCTTACTGTCACGGTGGAAGAAGCCAGCCACCACGTCACTGGTAACCCTGAGGCCCAGGTGGCAGGGAACAGATGTCTCTGGCCAGTGAGGACCAAGGCCCACTGGATGATCTCACAGCCCCAGCCAACGTCCAGACTGCAGTTGGTGGGGAGCCCTGAGCCAGAGATATCAGCTGAGCTCACCCTAATTTCTGATCCACAGACGGGGCTAGTCCTTGTTGTTTGCAGGTGCTAAGTTTAGCACAATTTGTTAAGTAGCAATCATTAATTAATATAATCCCTTAGGAGTTAAAATAGTACTTTGTTAACCTGTATATCCTGGGTTCAGAACTTGTTGTGTAATGATTTTTTTTACTGAATTGAGCATGAATCAGTCACTTTCCCATTGCTGGGACAAACCACCTGACTCCCACAATCCAAAGGAGGAGAGGTTTATTTTGACTCATGGTTTCAGAGGATTCAGTCCATGGTCATCTGGCTGCAAGACAAAAATAGCATGGTGGAAAGGCCTAGCCAAGGAAAGCAGCTCAATCCATAAGCAGAGTAAGAAGGGAGAAGCCAAGCTCAAGAGTACACCTTCCCAGGCCACACCCCCAACGAATCACCTCCCACAAGACTCCCATTCCTAAGAGCACCCTCGGCTTCAAACTCATTCATGAATCAATTGACTGATGAATATTTCACCTCCATGATGCAACCACCTTCCCAAAGCCCCAGTTCCGAGCACATGAGGCTTTGGGGTAGGGAGGACATTTTAGATCTGAATCACAGCGGAGAGCCTCAAAAGGCTTACAGTCAGATGAGAGAGAGGATCAGACGTTTAGTAAAATACAACAAATACGTATATACCAACAACTGTCACAGGATCCAAGAGGAAGGACCCTGATGCTAAGGAATCCCATGGAAGGAGGGGTGACCTCAGGATGGTGAGGAAAGACTTTCTGCAAGAGTCACGGACAAGCTGAGACCTGAAGAAAGAGCAGGCATTTGTGAAACAAGGAGGCAGAGAAGGCTGTTCCAGGCAGAGGAGTGAGCATGTGGAAAGGTCCTAGAGCAGGTGCGTACGAAAATGAGTCTCTGGAATGCAGAGGAGAGAGGTGCGAGGTGAGATGTGAGATGAGGTCAGACCGCCCCATCTGGGCAGGGCACACGGGGTGTTCCGCTTGTGAACCAGAGTGTTCAACACATCTGATGCACCCACATGAGTGTGCGTGTGTGTGTGTGCACGTGTGCATACACGTACACCCAGGAGCGGTGTGGTCGGAGCTGTGTTTCCAGCATAACATTCCACCTGCCTTGCGGAGAGTGGATTCCAGGGCAGTCTCACAAGCAGGCTACTACAATGGTCCTCGCCAAATGGCCTAGTAGTTGCAGCTCTAGTGGTTACGATGAAAATAGAAGTAAACAGAAAGCAGAGTCAACAAGGAACATGACAAGAGGGGTGTGGCAGGGACCCTGCAGGGCTGTCCAGTCCCCGCAGATGCTGTGGCAATGGTGGCTGATGCTGAGAGCACTGGGGGCCTCTCCCAGCAGGGACGTGGACAAAAGCTTCAACGATGAGGGCCGTGCAGTGTCACGTTCGTTAACCCCCAGTTCTGTGCCATATTCCAGACAAGAGAAACATCACAACACACCCGCTAGCCTCGGAACCGAGTTAACATTCCCAGTAATGAATCAAATCTCTGCCTGGGTGGCCAATCCAACCAATGCCACACGGACAACTAGAAGAAAAGAAATTCAGTTATGACCGTGAAAGCAGTTCCCTCCCAGTTTCTACCCTAACAACCAAGGCCAGTCTGCTGGGGGCCATTAAATAGCCTCTGTTTCATCTTAACAATGACAGGAGCATTTATTACTCCTATGTGCCAGGCACTCTGGAAGCCTCTGTGCATACATTAGCTCTGATCTCACAAGAAAAAGACTGTAATTTCTGCAACCAAGGAAGCTCAGAAAAGCAAAGTAATTTCCCAGTTAACTGAAGTGATGAGTTGGTGGAGGCAGGATTTGAACCTGCATCTTCCAGACTTCCAAGTCTGCTTGCCTTCACTAACACCACCTCTGCATGTCAGCTGAATCTTTCTTTCAGGACTACTTTACCCAGTCAGCCAGCTCACCCACAACGTCAATTCACATTGGTGGAGACAGCTGAAATTATAGGATTGATAGCTTTTTCTCTTTTCCTCCCATTCTATAACTGACCAAGGCTGGTTGGGAATGGAATCCCTAATTAACCATGCCCATGGCTCAGTGGGTGAGGACCCAGGTACCCTAAATCTGTCGAGCACAACATGGCTTCCGGGATAAGTGGGAAACAGCTAACACACAAAGCTGCTCCCAAGAGAGAGAGAACTGGGAGATGTCACCCTTATTCTACCTAATGAAGGAAAATGCTATACCTTTTTAAAGTATGCTTTTAAAAAGTAGTGAAGTAGGAAAAAAAAAATCCAAGAAGAATGGGTCTCGTGTGGATGTGTCACAAGGAGCTTAAAATAACATGGTTTCCAGGTGTCTGAACATGTGAAGGGCTACCTGTGGGCAGAGCTGTGCTGCGGGGTCCTTGGAATCCTACATGGAGGTCTACATGGCAGACAAACCTAGGGTGCTCCTGCTGAAGGGGGAGGAGGGCAGTTCCTCAGAACCCCATGCTTAAAGGAGAGGCAGCCAGCAACCACTAGACCCACAAAACTCAAGGGCCCAAGTCATTGCGTCTCCCTCACAATTTGTTAATCATGCTGGACAGTGAAGCCCACAGTCCCATGGGAGAACCACTGCCCATGTAAATCATGGGATGAGACACGTGATCACAAGTTCAAGGACCCCCGGGCCCTCCATTTCCCGGGCCTCCCCAAGTGTATGGACTCACCAGGCAATGCCAGCCCACCCTACCAGCCCAGAGCTGGGTCACTGGCCTGGCCCTGACTGTGTCCCCCATGACCTGCAATGCTCTCAAGGAAAGAGAGAAGGGACAGGCAGAGAGGTCTGGAGTCCACCACCTTACCTCAGGTGTCAGTGCATTGTTGTCCGAGGTCTGGCTGGACAGCAGGATGTGCGTGAAACCTTCTTCCTTCCGTACCACAATGTCCCGAAACCGACAGTTGCTTTCATTCTGGCGGACGCTGTACCTGAGCCTCTTATCAAAGACATAGTCCTTCTCAGCCTCCAGCTTCCTCTTCACCGGGCTGTGCAGGTTCAGCCCGCCATTGGTCAGAGCAGAGCCTTCAACAACAGATAAGCACAGTTAGAAACGGACACAGGCCACTGATTGCCAGGTTGCCATCAGGACCCTGGACTTTCAATGCGAAGGTACAGACGGGGCTGGCCCTGTGCTCTCTGTTCCTGGGGGGCCGGAGTGGGAGTGAAGAGCCTGGGGCTCACATGCTGCATCTCCAGAGTCAGAAGAGCACCTGGGGGTTCTCCATGAGGGGCCTGGCCATGTGGTCCTGACCTTACCACCACCACCAGCACACTGGCCTGTGAGCAGCCAGCTTTTTCTCTGATTCTTGGTAACAGGGAATCCCAGAGCACTGGAGAAGCAGCCCTGCTCACCAGTGGACATGGGTGACCAACAAGGAATTATTAGGAGGAGCAACAGTAGCCACTAGCCTTTATCCGACGTGTAGTCCATGCTAATAAGCACTTCCTGAGGGTGCTGAGACCCCAGTCCTTCTTTGGGGCCAGATGCCCTGAGCTTAGGGAGGTGAGGACCAAGCAGGCAAGGTCTTCACATCTTTCTCCTCTTCCAGATCAATTATAATACCTTTGCATTTTTACACTTCACCAATTAGCATTCCAGATGGCTAGAAAGTGCCCTGGTTGAAAGGGTTTGAAAACCAACTAAAGATCCAGACCTCGGACAATGCCCCGTTGTCATCACCCTGTAAAGACTCCTGGAGTCCTGAGGAAAGCAGGTCTCGTCTGCACCAAAAAAAAAAAAGTCCTCCAAAGCAGGCCTGGGAACATACTCAAATGTGTGCTTTGGAAACTTCCAAGTCCAGGGTGCAAGGACAGACCACAAAGAGTCAATATGAGAAATGAAAGAGGTTCATCACTGCTGATCATATGGACGCTGAAAGGGTAATAAAGAAATCCCCTGAACAGCCCTCTGCCCACTGATTTGATAGCGTAGACAAAATAGGACAAACTCCTTGGATGACACACATTTCCAAAATACACATGAGGAAATACATAATCTCAACAGACCTCTATTAAATAAATGAACTCAATAATTAACAATCTTCTAAAAGAGAATGTACTACTCAAATGAATGATACCAAACATTTATGGAAGAGATACCATCAACTCCCACAATCCGTTCCATAATTCAGAACCACAGGAACTTCCACGTCGCCACATTATTTAAATACCAAAACTATGTAAAGAAACGATAAGAAAACAAAAGTACAGATGAGAGTAGCTCTCATGGGCACAAATGTGAAAGTTTTCAAAAACATGAGCAAATCGATTCCAACAGTGGGAAAAGAGAGTTATAAGCTACAAATATATGCAAAGGTGGTTCAGTAATAGAAATCAGTCAATGTATCAGTAGTCTGAAGAAGAAAACAATCCTACAATCAGATCAATTGATACGGGGAAAGCATTTGACAAAATCCAACAAAAGGGCATTTGCCCAAGTTGACAAAGATTTTTATTTTCTTTTTTGGTACCAAGGATGGAACCTGAGACCTTGAGCTTGCATGGCAGGTGGCAGAACCACTGGGCTACATCCCCAGCCCTCAACTTGACAAAGAACAGCTACCTCTGGCTACAAAATACCTCCAGCTACCATCAGACCTAACGGTGAGAAGATGGATGCCTCTTGTTTAAGATCTGAAATGAGGCAAGGATGTTCTCAGTTCTGCTCAACATCAGCTTGGAAGTCCAGACGATGCACAAACACAACACACACACACACACACACACACACACAAAGGGAAGGGAAGGAGGGGAAATGGAAGGGCTTAGAAACTGAGAAAGAAGAAAAACAATGAATTTTGCTTACATGTGATTAAAAGACTACTTAGAAAGCACTGAAAAATTGAAGGGGAAAAAAATCAACTATTCCTGGAACTAATAAGCAAATTCACCAAGGTCACCGGAGACAATGTTAATATACAAGTTAGTTTCCCACATACCAGCAATGAACTAGAATTTGACATTTAAACACAATACTATTTGCAACAACACCCAAACTATGAAATACTCATGTATAAATCTAATAAAATATGTATAGGATCTCTTTGCAGGAAACTACAAAATTTGGATGAAAGAAATAAAAAAGGATCTAAATAAATGGGGAGATATTCTGTGTTTGTTAATTAGAAGGTTGAACATTTTAAAGATAGCAGTTCTTCCTAACTTGATCTATAGGTTCAATGCAATGCCAATCAAAATTCCATTAAGATATTTCGTAGATATTGTCAAACTAATTCTAAGCTTTATTTAGGAAGGAGTGAAGACCTAGAAGAGTCAAAATAATATTTCAGAGTAAGAACAAAGTTGAATTCTCACTACACGATTCCAAGACTTAATATAAAGCTATAATAATCAAGACAGTGAAAAAACTGATATATAAAATCAATGAAATAGAATGGCAACCCCAGAAAAAAAAAACAAAAATATAGCAACAGAATAAGGACAATTCAGTGAGAAAGGACAGACAGTCTTTTTCAACAAATGGCACTGAAACAGACATTCTGTTTACAGAAGAAAAAGTGATCCTGGGTACAAACTTTACATTTTTCACAAACACTAACTCAAAATGAATCACAGCCCTGAACATGAAGTGCAAAACTATAAAACTTCTAGAGGGTAACAGGATAAAACCCTAGGAACCTGGGGTTTGGCGATGAGTTTTTAGATACAGCCCCAGAAACTAGTTCCATGAAACAAAAAATTGGTAACTCAAATTGGTAACTTTAAGTTATTAAAATTCAAAACTTCTGTTCCTTGAAGAACATCAATAAGAGAATCAAACAAGCTACTTACTGGGCCAAAAAATGTTGTAAAGCACATATGAGAGATTTTGTATCCAAAATACACAAAGAGGTCTTTAAAAGGTACAGTAAGAAAACAACCCAATACTTAAAAATGGGGGAAAGATCTGAAAAGACTCTTCAGCAAGGACAGAAGTAGCAAATAAGCAAATTGAAAAATGCTCAATATTGTTTGTCATTAGGGAATTAAAACAAGGAAATGAAAGCCAGGAGACAGGCATACATCAGTCAGCTAACATCCAAACGGCTGACAACACCAATTGCTAGTGAGGACACAGACTCACATAGACTCGCTCTCATTGCTGTTGGGGATATGAAGTGGTAGGATTGCTTTGGAAAGCCATCTGGTCGTCTCTTAAAAAACCAGACAGTCAGGCATGGTGGGTTACACTGTAATCCCAGCTACTTAGCAGGTTAAGGCAGCAAGATAATAGGTTCAAGTCTAGGCTGGGAAACACAGCAGAGCTCTTGTCTCAACAAAAAAGGATGGGGGTGCAGCTCCCTTGAGCACTTGCCTATCATGCTCAAGACTCTACACAAAATGAAATGCAGTCTTAGCATACAAGATCCAGCAATCATTACCATTTCTAAGAATTCAGGTGCCAAAACTATTTGGAAACTTTCATCCACAAAACAGTATAAAAAAGACAATCACCAAAAACTGCCAGCAACTGATAGGTCCTTTAATCACAGAATTCATAAACAAACTGACACCTCCATAGAATGGAACATTACTCAGTGATAAAAAGAAATAGCTGTCAAGCCACAAAAATCAATGATTTTGAAATGCATACTGCTAGGTAAAAGAAGCCAGTAGGAAAATGCATTACGAGACTCCAATTAGATGACATTTTAGAAAAAGCAAAGCTATAATGATGGTGAAAAGATTAGTGTTTTCCAAGGGTTCAGAATAAGAAACAGGTTAAACAGGTGAAGCACAGGGGATTTTTTTAGGGCCATGAGACAATTCTGTATGATACAATAATGAAGAATCCAAGACATTAAGCACTTGTCAAAACCCAAAGAACTTTACAGCACAGAGAGCAAATGTGAAAGTATGCAAATTTTAAAATATCATTTAGGAGGCAGTGGGGTCCCAGGATGGCATGCATAATGTGACAAAAGAATCTAACAGTATTATTATGTATGCAATGATCTTACTGAACGTTGGAGGGAAAGGTGCCAACATAAGCAAATGTTAGAAATGAGTGGACTCTGTAAAATTAAGGAAAACTATGCCAGAGGTAAGCTCCACACCACAGTGGCTACTGCTGATTCCCATGGAGGAGAGAGCTTCTGGCATGTACCGGAGTCAAGAGATTCAGCGGGAGGCTGGTAGGAGGGAGACACAAGGTTTCCACCACCCAACTGGGAGTTTACAGATGAGCAGATATCATGAGCCCACTAGTGTTCAGCTTAATCCTGATCCTGATGGCTGTGCGCAGAGCTAAATGCACCTGCATGAGTCAGAACACACACACATGCGGGTCTCCTTGCTCTGCCAGCTGAGAGGACCCAGAATCAAGACATCCCAAGAGCGTGGCTTCTAGTACCATTCTCCATAAGAGGCACCAGGGCACCTGAAGAGAGGGCCAGCTCCAGGGAGAGAGCAGGAGGCATCCAAGATAAGCTTAGAGCCCCAGGACAGAAGAAAGAACTCAAGTAGGACACAACACAATGACCTCCACATGCATGGGGGTTTGTCCAAAGGACACAGGAGCCAACGGAAAGACGCCCCATGATCACAGCTGGCACAATCTGAGCCATGAAACAAATGACTATTGATTATACCTAAAAATACAAAGTAACTATTTATGAGTCCATACTGATATAAATAAACGATGGAATATGTAATAAATACGGAAGAGACCAATCTTCCAGGTAAGAGAATTCCAGATCATTTACATTGCTCTCCAACTTCAAGGCTCTCATTTGCTTTAATCCACACAGCCCGGCTTTGCACAAAATTGTTCTGGTAGTATCTGCAGCAGGAGCCTCTTCTCTCTAATGACAGCAAAGGCCATGGCTACACAAAGCCCTGCTCAGCATGGCGCTTGCGGAATCCCCCAGGAATGTTTCTTAGTACCTGGGGCTCTGGGGGGGTGCTCAGATCCTCACCCAATATCAGCCAAAGGGCCAGAAGCAATAGTTCTCAGACTTAATTAGCACCAGGGGTCGTGGAGAGTCAAGTAGGGGTCAGGCAGGGACCAGGGCACGTGTGGG